TTCTTCCAAGGAGCAAGCCTCTTCTAATCTTAAGGCTGTAGTCACCATCTGCAGAGATTTTGGAGACCAAGAAAATAAAGTCTGTCACTGTTTCTATTTTCTTCCCCTTCTATTTGCCATGAAGTGATGGGACTGGATGCCACGATCTTAGTTTTCTGAATGTTGAGTTTTAAGCCAGCTTTTTCACTCTCCTCTTTCACTTTCATCAAGAAACTCTTTAGCTCCTCTTTACTTTCTGCCATTAAACTGGTATCATCTGCATATCTGAGGTTGTTGATATTTCCCCAGGCAATCTTGATTCCAGCTTATGATTCATCCAACTCGGCATTTCACATAATATACACTGCATATAAGTTAAATAAGCAGGGTGACAATATACAGCCCTGTCATCCTCCTTTCCCAATTTTGAACAAGTCTGTTGTTCCATGTCCAGTTCTAACTGTTGCTTCTTGACCTGCATATATGTTTCTCGGGAGGCAGGTAAGGTAGTCTGGTATTCTCATCTCTTTAAGAATTTTCCACAGTTTGTTGTGACCCACAGAGTCGAAGGCTTTAGCATAGTCAATGAGGCAGAAACAGATGTTTTTATGTAACTCCCTTGCTTTCTCTGTGATCAAACGAATGTTGGCGATTTGTTCTCTCATTCCTCTGCCTTTTCTAAATACAGCTTATATATATGGAAATTCTTGGTTCACATACTGCTGAAGCCTAGCTTGAAGGATTTTGAGTGTTATCTCACTAGCATGTGAAATGAGCACAATTGTATGGTAGTCTGAACATTTTTTGGCATTGTTCTTCTTTGGGAATGGAATGAAAACTGAACTTTTCTAGTCCTGTGGCCACTGCTGAGTTTTCCAAATTTGCTGACATATTGATCTTTTAGGGTTTGAAATAGCTCAGCTGACAATTCCATCACCTTCACTACCTTTGTCCGTAGTAATGCTTCCTAAGGCCCACTTGACTTCACGCTCCAGGATGTCAGTGTCTCGGTGAGTGACCACACCATTATGGTTATCTGGGCCATTAAGACCATTTTTGAATAGTTCTTCTGTATATTCTTTTCATCTCTTTAATCTCTTCTACTTCTGTTAGATTCTTACTGTTTTTGTGCCCATCCTTGCATGGAATGTTCGCTTGATCTCTCCAGTTTTCTTGAAGAGATCTCTAGTATTTCCCATTCTTTGTTTTCCTCTATTCTCATTGTTCATTTAAGAAGGCCTTCTTATTTCTCCTTGCTCTTCTTCTCTGGAAGTTTGGATTCGGTTTGGTATATCTTTTCCTTTCTCCCTTGTCTCTCACTTCTCTTCTTTTCTCAGCTATTTGTAAAGCCTCCTCAGACAAACACTTTGCCTTCTTGCATTTCTTTATCTTGGGGGTGGTTTTGGTCACTGCCTCCTGTACAATGTTACGAACATCCATCGCTAGTTCTTCAGGCACTCTGTCTACCAGATCTAGTCCCTTGAATCTATTCATCATCTTCACTGTATAATCATAAGGGATTTGATTCAGGTCATACCTGAATGGCCTAGTGGTTTTCCATGCTTTCTTCAATTTAAGCCCGGTTTTTGCAATAAGAAGTTCATTATCTGAGCCACAGCCAACTCCAGGTCTTGTCTTTGCTGACTGTATAGAGCTTCTTCATCTTTGGCTGCAAAGAACATAACCAATCTGATATTGGTATTGACTGACTGTGGGAAAGGGAAATACCTGGAGTAACAGGCAAGTTTGGCCTGTTATGAAGCAGGGCAAAGGATAACAGTTTTACCAAGAGAACACACTGGTCATAGCAAACATCCTCTTCCAACAACACAAGAGATGACTCTACACATGGACGTCACAAGATGTTCAAATACTGTAGTAATCAGTAAAATTTCTTGAGATGATGTCATCCTAGATTTAAGGATTTAAGATTTAAAGATTTAAGGATTTAAATCCTGTGACTGCTGTCTTTATAAGGGAAAAGGCAGGGAAATTTGGTTACACAGAGGCACAGAAGAGAAGACAATTTGAAGACTGAGGCAGAGATTGGAGTGATGTTTCTATAAGGCAAGGAATTCTAGGAGCCACCAGAAGCTGGAAGATTCATGGAAAGATTCCCCTCTAGAGTCTTTAGGGCAAGTGTGACCCTGCCAATACCTTAATGTCAGACTTGTGGCCTCCAGAATTGTGAGACAATAAACTTTTGTTGTTGTTTTTTTTTCCATTTATTTTTATTAGTTGGAGGCTAATTACTTTATATCATTACAGTAGTTTTTGTTATACATTGAAATGAATTAGCCATGGATTTACATGTATTCCCCATCCCAGTCCCCCCTCCCACCTCCCTCTCCACCCGATCCCTCTGGGTCTTCCCAGTGCACCAGGCCCGAGCACTTGTCTCATGTACCCAACCTGGGCTGGTTATCTGTTTCACCCTAGATAATATACATGTTTCAATGCTGTTCTCTTGAAACATCCCACCCTCACCTTCTCCCAGAGTCCACAAGTCTGTTCTATACATCTGAGTCTCTTTTTCTGTTTTGTGGTAATTTGTTATGGCAACCCTATGAAATAATACAGCAACCTTATGACAGCTTCTAATATTTCTTCTTGCCATTTCACTAATCCTCTAAATCCAATGAGCATTTGTGCAAACAAGTACATACCTGTGCAGGAGGAATTGTACACAGTTATGTGCCCACATATACACTTGCCTTATAGCGGTCTTGGTGTTGTCACTGATTCACTATGACATTGTGTGAGCTATATTTTTTTCCTGTAGGCAAGTTTCTCTTTCTGCAAAATGAGATCGTTATCTGTTTTTAAAATAATTTTTATTGGAGTATAGTTGCTTTACGGTTTTGTGTTAGCTTCTGCTATACAGAAAAGTAAATCAGCTCTACATATACATATATCCCGTTTCTGGACTTCTCTCACATTTAGGTCAGCACAAAGCATTGAATAGAGTGCCTGTTCTATATAGTAGGTTCTCATTAGTTATCTATTTTATACATACTAGTGTATATATGTCAAGTCCAATCTCCCAATTCGTCCACCCCCTTTCTCCTTAGTATCCATACATTTATCCTGTAAGCCTGTGTCTCTATTTCTGCTTTGCAAAGATCATCTACACCATTTTTTCTAGATTCCACATATATGCATTAGTATACGATATTTGTTTTTCTCTTTCTTACTTCACTCTGTATGAATTTTTAGGTCCAGCCACATCTCTGCAAATTGCACAGTTCAAAAAGATATGTACACCCCAGTGTTCATTGCAGCACTATTTGCAACAGCCAGTACATGGAAGCAATCTAGATGTCCATTAAGAGAGGAATGGATAAAGAAGATGTGGTGTGTACACACACACACACACACACATACACACACACACACACAATGGAATACTACTCAGTCACAAAAAGGAATGAGATGGTTATCTTATGGGTCCTTACAGTTCAGTGACTGAGCCTATATATCCCTCTATATATACTCAGTAAACGGGTATATGCATGTAGTCAGAGTATAGCACATGTACGTCAATGAACAGAAGTAGAGAGTTTTAGGAATTTTTTGGAGGGAGTGGACCCAACAGGATAGTGGTTCAGATAGAAATAGTACACTGTGGGAAGAATTTTAAATGCCTTCCATGTCCCAGTCTATATATATATATATATATCAGTACACTTAACATACACAATAAAACATATGTTCAATCAGATGCCCTAAAGGACCATTTTGATTCTCTGACTAAATGGGTTGCAAAATCACATAAGAGGGGCTGAATTCTTTGATAGGAGCAGTTCATATTTATGTTGCCCCTGAAATGCTCAAAAGGGAATGTTTTGTCAGCGTGATTTGAGGTCCCATTTGGGGACTCACCTTTGGAAAACCTTTTAAATTTGGTAGCCTATATTTCACTCTCCACAGGTCAACTCCTTCATCTGAGATTTTCCTGTCTTACAGCCTAGATTGTTAGGTGTGAAAGGGTCTTTCAAAATCATGTCCATCCATCACCATTCATTTTGCCATTGAGGATGATGAGGGTCAGACTTGTCAAAGATAATAATCAAGTAATTTTCAGAGGCAGAAGTCAAAGCTGTGTTCCTTTATTTTACTCTCAGTCTAGGTCTTTTCCTACCCCCTGTTGCATTATTACTATAATTTGTCCAGTTTTTTTCCCTCAATGGGAATATTATTCTTTTATACTTTGAGTTAATTAATCTCCTTCCTTCCTTTCTTCCTCCTTGTGCAAACTTACATGTAGGCTCACAAACTTACATACACCTGTATTCCCTTTAGAGGTTTTCGAAAGGAAAGCTTTGTGGTTCTGCTGCTTGTCTGTTTTGCCTGGAGGTAAGCTCCAGCTGACAGTTCTGTATTGGGTCTACACTTCTACTTGGTTGGAGGTGGGGGTGGCAGTTAGGTCACTGGCAGATCAATGTGGCTGAACCCTTTCTTCTTAGTGGAGTGGGAATGGCAACCTCTTTGATGTAGTATTTTTTTTTGCTCATCATTGTCCTCAGAGATGTAATGTGAACAGACAGATTTGTCCAACCTTTATATGGAGCCTGGGCTAAGGCGCGCCCATAGGGATGAAAGGGAGACAGACCACTTATCTTCCGTCTAGGAGCAGCTAGCTAGTAAGCATCACACATCAAGTATGGTAATCCATACTTCCTTTATCCTCCTATTCGCTCTTATCCTTTATGCTCTCTTTCCTTTCCCTTTGCTCCCTTTGCTCTTCCCCTTCTCTCAGAGCTTCCCTGTTTCTCTGCTGGATAGCTAAAATAATCGAATACTACTTTAGTCTTTCCTAAAACAACCACAGATGCAAACCTTTGCAGCGCTGTGTTCTGAGCCCCAGCACAGCCTCGTGCTCAGCACCAAGCAGTGGTGAATCCAAAACCAGCAAAGGGGGAGGGGAAGTGGGAAAGGGGGGAGAGAGAGAAGAGAAGGGAGCGAGAGAGGGGGAGAGAGAGAGGAAGGAAGGGAGGGTGAGAGAGAGAGAGAGACGGAGAGCGTGAGCGCGCGCAAGCTAGCGAGCAAACCAGAGAGACAGACGGGAGAGGGACGGGGAGAGACCCAGAGAGACAGAAGAAGAAGCCGAGCTTTGTGAGGGCTCAACCTCCAACTTGTTTCAGTTCATTCATCCTTCTCTTCTCTCCGCTTCGAGGAAGTGACTGTGGCGCTTGGTAAGAAACACAGCTTTCCCTCCTTCCCCCTCCCCCAAGCTCAGGTCTCCTTTAGCGATAGCATCTCTCCCCCGTACGGAGAGTCTCCTTGGGTTGGCCAGCGAGGCGAGACATGCTCTGCAGCTGTGATGCTATCCTGGGTTTCCCAGTGGGGCTGGTGGAAGCCCAGAGTCGGCATCTGGGCAGGGAGGCACAGGGGTAAAACCTGATTTGAGGAAGAGGGGGTTGCGATGTGGTGTATGCGCTATTTGCTTCATTGTCAGTGAATTGTTTTGTTCCTTTTAGGAAGCAGGTCAGCATTGACCTTGCAAATTGCTCGGGGGGCCGGCAGCTGCTGCAGAAAGACACCGAGTGGCCCCTAGCCAGAGCAGAAAGCACTGTCATGACCCCCCAGACAGCCCTAGGCACAGGGATGGGGTAATGGCTGGAGCTTCCTTGCTCCTTTTAACTCTTTCTCTGCAGCTGCTTCTCATTGCTGGAAATGAGAAAGGAGAATACGTTGTAGTCCCTTTCCCCATCTCCCTATTACCTCCCCCAGACGCAAGTGAGTATAAAGTTGTAAATAACTGTTTCCTTTGAAAGCAGGTGGAGACCTCCCCCCTTCCCTTAAGAGGCTCTTTGTAGCGTTGGGCCTGAGTTCCTTCACAAACTTGGGAGGTTTCCCTTGCTTCTCTGTGGGAAGCCCCATTGCCTGCCCACTCCCCATTCCAGGTACTCAAGCTGATAGGCTAGACCCGGGATTCCGATATCCCACCCCATCAACTGGCAGGCTTAGTATTAGGTCCAGCTCTGTCCTTGGGAGGGAAGAAACACCTGATGGTTTGTCTGGAACTGAATTTCCAGTTTGCTGCTCCTCTGGCTGTGGCTGCGGGTGGCTTAGGCAGGAGGACTGGGGGAGGGGTGGCTGCTGGATTTCGAGAGTGCAGGGTGAAGAGCTGATTGGTGTGAATGGTATGATTTACTGAGGGTCAGCAGGTTCTGGATGTCTGTAGCTATGCAAGGGTTGGCTAAAGCTCTTGTAATATATCCGCTCTGAATTGGTCGGGGTAAAGATCTGGTTGCTTGATGGGGGCTTTTTGAGTTGGCGATACTGCTGTACCCGTAATGGTAATTATAACACCTGCAATGCCAATTGCTGACACTGTTGAGTGCTTACAATGTTTCAAATCTTGGGCTGTGACTTTAGTATGTATTATCCTTACATTAACCATATGAAGCAAGATACTATCATTTTTCTTAGTGATGAGGAAACTGAGGCACAGAGAGGTTTAGCAATTAAATGCCCTGACTGGGAATTAGAACACAGGCAACCTGGTTCCAGAATGTACGGTCTTGACCACTAAGCACCACTGCCTCCCTGGGGAGAATTTTCCACCCTCATCTGTTAGGCAAGTGTAGGTAGAGTCCTTTGTGTAAAGTAACAGGAATTTAGAGTGGGGCATAGTGGCTAGCTATTGTGGAGCCAAGCCTCATCTGGGTTTCCTAGAGGGGCTGCCCAAAAGACTTTCTTTGGACATTCTGCTTTCCTTTGGAAAGAATGCCAGGAAAGACTTCATTTTTCCATTGTCATGGCCTCATCCATCTAACATCCATCCAAAGACTCTCTTTTTAGGACCAGCTGTCGCTCTCTTCTTCTGAGAGCTTCGAGTCACCTTGTTCTGAAAATTGTAGAGTACTAAAACTTTGGAACTGGAAGGATCCCTAAAGGTTATTAAGCTTTACTTCTCCACGCAGTTCTTGAATTTGTCCTAAGCATCCAATTCTTTGACTAATTTCTATTTGAACTCCCTGGACTGACAATGAGCTCGTTAGGGGGCTCCTTCTATACTGTCAGGAAGTAATCCCTGTTATAAGCCAACGTCTGTCTCCCTGTAACATCTCTTCATTGGTTCTTTAGGACTTTCTAGAACCAATTTGCTTCTTTTCTTAATTTTAATTTGCTTCTTAATAATAGCGCCTCGATAGTTGAAGACAGCTGTATCTCTCCCCTCAAGCCTTGAATCTGACAGGACCACAAGGAAGGGATCATCATTTGCCTCATTTGGGGCACTAGACTTTTATTAATATGGCCTATTATCCCATTCTCTTGTTTGTCAGCCACAGACTGATCATACTGAGTTTTGTAAAGCAGCCCTGATATTGTATGTTCTCTTACTTGGAAAAGCTTGCTATTTGGTATCAAGTGGACTGATGGGAACAAAGACAGTCTCTGTTCTTTTCCAAAAACCAGAAATCAGTGCTATTTCTTCTGAAGCCCCAGAATGTCCATATAACAGCCAGAGAATAAGCATGTGGGAAGATTTGGGAAGAAAGAGTTAACCACAATTATAAAGGAAACATTTGGAATCTTGTGATTCAAGATTCATAGTATATAAAAGATAGAAGAATAAATTGTTATATCAGTATCTCAGGAACAATGACATCACCGAGGGGATGGTGCAGAGTGGGACTGGGTGGAATAGGAGTGAGCATGTGGTGTGTTAGAGTGGAAAACTGACCTGGTTGTTAGGAAAGTTGAGTTCTATTGCTAGCTCTGAAAAATCGCCAGTTACGTTAGACACATGATTTCCTCTGCATGGATCTCAGCTTCTCTGAGGGGTTTTCACCTCTGCAATTCTCTATCTGAAGTAAATTGTAAAATCTCAGGATTCTAATGGACTTCAGAAATCATCTAGGGCAGTTCTTCTCAAACTTGAATGTGCAAAAGAATCCCCTGAGGATCTTGTAAAAATGTTAATTCCGATTCAAATGGTCTGGGGTGGGACCTGAGTTTTGCATTTTTAACAAGCTGACAGGCAATCCTTAAGCTGCTGTTCCAGTGCTTTTCAAACTATCTTGGTGAAGAACCAGTTTTTTAAAAATTTCCCAATCCACCACAGATAGTTTCTTTAGTCAAATACATTAAGTATGAATTAGTAGAAAAATAAAAGCCATGCAAAATATAAGCTATCATTTTATTGTTAGATTCAATAGACATAAAATTATTTTTTTTTCAAGTTGAGTTGTTACATTTTGTAAGTACATATTCTCAATTTCTGCATGTGTGTACTTCTCAATTTTTATACTTAGGTCATTGCTGTCTGGTAATAATAGTTTGTAGATAAGCAATGATCCTTGGACCACACTTCAAGTGATATTGTTCTAGGCTACCTGCCCATCTATCTAATTTAAGAGGCTCAGATTGGGCCCAGTTATAATTTCCAAATAATCCCTGCCAAATGATCTTTCACCCTTAGGTTAGTATCTCCTTTGATGGAAAATTTAATATCCTTGCAAAGGAGCATTAGTTTGGTGTTGTGACTGCAATAAATCCTTTTTAAAAGCTTCTATAAATTCCACTTTTAAATTATATATTTCAAGTTAGTAGGGGGCTGTATCAGTCCAGTTTATTGTAACGTCAGACACTATCATAGTATATGGCATAAAAGGAGACCAGTCCTGGGTGTTCATTGGAAGGACTGATGTTGAAGTTGAAGCTCCAATACTTTGGCTACCTCATGCGAAGAGTTGACTCATTGGAAAAGACCCTGATGCTGGGAGGGATTGGGGGCAGGAGGAGAAGGGGATGACAGAGGATGAGATGGCTGGATGGTATCACTGACTTGATGGACCTGAGTTTGAGTAAACTCTGGGAGTTGGTGATGGGCAGGGAGTCCTGGCGTGCTGTGATTCATGGGGTCGCAAAGAGTTGGACACAACTGAGCGACTGAACTGAACTGAACTGAACTGAACTGAGGTGCTTGTTAAATTAAAGGAACAGACCAGTTGGTGCTAGTGATGCCTTTTGGGGCCATATGTTCATTTTAAAAAAGGTAATTTTGTTTTCCTTCCAGCATTTTGGGGTGGGGGAAATATTCATCCTATTTTTACAAATTTCTTATGTTGAATTAGAAGGCAAGCTCACCTGTCACAGATAGCTACCAGGCATCTTAATTTTACTTTGAAGGAATTATAGGAAGATAGGAAAATATTTTTCTACATTCTAAGTCCCAAATTTTTACCTTTAACCCAGTCATTCATCAATTCAGTCATTCAACAGCTATTTATTCAGTGATATGGTTAAGCACCATGCAGATGTTAGTAAGGTAAGCTACACAGACATGGTACATGCTTATTTGGAGCTTATAGTCTGATGGGGAAGAGGTAATAAATCAGATAATCACACAACTGTGTTATTTCAGTCAGCAACACATGTTATAAAGGAAAAGTATGGGTGGAGTAGGGCTAGGAAGGTATATAACGGAGGAAATCTGATCTAGTTTGGGGTTTAAGAAAACTTTCCTTGAGGAAGTAATATTAAGGCCAGATAAAGACATGGGGGTGGGGTGATGGTGATAGAGGGGGTAGAGTGCTTTTCTAGATGAAGGGAAGAGCACGCATGAGGATCCTAAGATGAGAGAAGCTTAGTGAATTTGGAAAATTGAGCAAACTCTGGGATGGGTGGAGTGGGACACTGTAAGGATTTTGGCCTTTATTCTAGAAACAAAGGGACTGATTGAAGGCTTTCAAGCAAGGTGGCTGATATGACCTTAACTGAATCTGTTCAATATGAGATTATTACGAGCACATTATGGACCAAAGGCGATGTGGGAGATACAGACTGATTTAGGAATAGTCTCTGCCCTCAAAGATGACACAGTCAAATAGGAGAGAGAAGAAGTACACAAACAACCATAATACTATGAGAACGAGAGTCACACTCATGAAAGAAGGAAAGGGCTTGCAGCCAAGGAGATCAAAAACAGCTTCCTGGGAGTAGCATTTGAACTGGGTTTTGAAAATATGACAAACTGTGGACGGAGTTTGGGGAATGGGAAAAGTGTTCTAGGCAGAGGCCAGAAAAATGTATTGGGAACAGTGAGTTCACTTGCATTGGAGTATGGTAAGTATGTGATAAATGTTTTGTGAGGTACTTGGAGGGCTTCACTATAAATAATATTGAATGCTAGCTTGGAAACTTAGGACTTTGCTCTTTATGTAGTAGAGTCAACTCTTTTGTT